ACCGAAGGCCCCAGTGGCCGCGGCCGCATTCGCCTCCCCGCCCAGTGCAGTGCATCGTGGCTCTACAGGAAGCTCCACCGAAGGCCCGATTGATCGCGGCCGCATGCGTCCGCGCCACCCAGTAAACAGCTTCGTGGCCCATGGGGGCCCCAATGGGTGCGGCCACATGCATCCGCGTCACCCAATACAGCGCTTCGTGGCTTCATAGGGAGCTCCACCGAAGGCCCCAATGGCCGCGGCCGCATGCATCTCCCCCACTCATTACAAGACACCCCATCATGCGCAACGTGGCCACATAGGTAGCTCCACCGAAAGCGGTATCCACAACGCAATAATCACAACTGCGTATGGCTGGGTCCTTCGCCGAAATCCCATCAGCCCTTTAGGGCGGAGGTGGTGTAGGGAGTTTCCTGATCCAACCCCCTTCTTCCATTTCGGAGAAGGGCTACCCCCCCCCTACCCCATCCCCTGGACCTGGACGGGGGGGCCCGCGCGTAGTTGGAACAGCCTCGGCGAGGAAGCCGACATCATTGGTTTTACTTATGCGTTGGCGCCATTTTGGCCCCCTGGAAGGGGGTGACCTTGCTATCCTCCGAAATGGCCTCAAGAGCGCTCCCAAGGCTCCCAAGGGTGCCCCAAGAGGGCCCCAAGGAGTGGCCAGGAGGCCCCAAGAGGCCCCCAAGAGGCCCCCAGGATGCCCCCAAGAGGCTCCCAAGAGACCCCCAAGAGGCCCTAAGGGGCACCCAAGACGCTCCAAGAGGCCTCGGCGAGAATGCCAAACTCACTGATTTTACCCAAATTGTGGCCACAGTTTGGCCTCCTGGGGGGAGGCACTGATTAAAATGACTCCAAGATCGCCTGGGAGAGCCCAATCTGATATCCAAGAGGGCTCAAAATATCCCAAGATGCCTCAAGATGGCTCCCACGATGCTCCAAGAGGCCCCAAGACCGTTCCAAGACGGCTCCAAATAGTCAAAGAGCTCCCCCAGGAAGCCCCGAAGAGGCCGAAATACTTCCCAAACCTTCGGGGAATCAAATGGTTTTGGATTTGTCGCCTTTTCGCTTCCGATGGCCGTCCGAGGCTTCGAAATGGCTCCAAGATGGCCCGAAAGGGCTCCAAGAGAGGCTCAAGAGAGCCCCAAGGCGGCCCCAAGAGTGCCCGAGAGCGCTCCAAGAGCGCCCCAAGAGGCGACTTTTTGGGTTCCCGACGGGCAGCGCGAATTAATGCTCCCCTCTTAGTTGATTGATGTCCACCAAGATGGCCCCAATAACGTTCCCTAGGCTCCTAGAAGCGTTTCAAGAAGGCCCCAAGAGGCGCCCAGGAGGCCCCAGGAGGCCCCAACAGGCGCCCAAGAGGCCTCCAAGAGGCTCCCAAAAGACCCCCAAGAGGCCCCCAGAAACTCTCCGAGGCACACAAGACGCCAAGGGGCGTCCAGGACCGCCAAGAGGCCCCCAAAACGCTCCAAGAGGCCTCCACTGGGGGACCCTTCCTGTGCGTGCTGCCCACTTCCCTGATCGAGGCAATTCCTCTGGGCATCGTTTCTGGATGGGCTGGAAGGGTTACTCTTTTGGCACGCGGGCGCGCGAGACAGGTCGAACGCCAGGCTAGCAGGGGCAGGCTATGCCACCGGCTGCGGAAAAGAAGCGACGAGCAACGCCAGGTGCGGGGCGGAACTGAGGCGGCCAAAATGGCGCGAAGGCGACGAAGGGCACCAGAAACGTGAAGGAGGTGTGGGAGAAGGCGGTGTACCCGATGGCGGCGAGGATGACCGGAGCCAATCCCTCAGGCGAACTTGCCGAATACGAAATCCCTGCACAGGAAGAGCAGGAAGAACCGCAAGGAAAAAGACCTTCAGGCCCCGCGTGGGCGATGACCGCCTCCACGAATAAAAGGACCAGGAATGACCACGACCACCAGGCAGCGGCCACGGGGCCTCACCCAGGGAGTGCATCCGACGAGGGCGATGTAGACTGTCACAGAGAGGGCGCCCTCCAAATGCCGTGGAAAGTGCAACCACCTACGCGTAGATGCAGAAGACCAAAGGTGCCCCAGGCAGGGCAGCATGAGACAGCGGCCAAGCCACGCGACCAGCCGTCAGAGCGCCACGCGCGCCAAGACCTGGGCGGTGGAATGACCGGCACGACGAAGCCTTGCAAGAGGGTGCGGAGCGCCACCACAGCGGGTACCCCGCGCGGGGAGCGGCAGGCGGCCAGCGACCAGCGGCCAGCGGCCCGCAAAGAACTTCGCCAGGGAGACCGTGCCCGACGCCTTGACTGGATGAGGGGGTCCCTGGCGGGATCAGCATCAAGTCCTTGTCGAACCCCATGGCCGTGAACCCTTTCGGCCATCACGAGGTAGAGGAACAAAACAGCGCCGTCAGCGCCAGCACTCTGGCGGCGCAGCAGCCGCCAGCTGCCAGACCCAGCGGCAGCTGCGACAGTTCATAGAAGGCCGCTAACCCGGTGGCGACCAGAGGAGCACCGCCAAGGCTCGCTGACCGCCGCCCCAGGGAGCAACTTGGGTGGGCGTCCACCAACCCGGTCACGGGGGGGCCCGCAGCGATATGCGCCGCCCCCAGGCGTCAAAACGGGGCAGGGCTTGGAGAGGTACCTGCCAGACGGTTCCCCAGGCAAAGACGCAGGACCAGGCGGCTGATCGCCGCAAATGCAAGGAACAAGGAGGAATGGGAGCGGCAGCTGGTCGCTGCAAATGCATAGAGAAAGGATGCGGCGGTTACCCCAGGCAGAGGCGTACCCCAGGCAGAGGCGTACCCCAAGAGCTGCTGGGGTTACTTTTTAGTCAGCGGCCGCAGGCGAGCGCGCCAGCGGCGAGTCCAGTCAGAGCGGGGCGCGCACAGACGAATTAACCTAAAGCGGCGGGCCGGAGCCTCACGCAGCACCTCAGCGGCGGGCCGTCGAGTGGAGAAGGACTGGCGGTAGGCTGGATACCCTGCTGGGGTTACGCGAAGCGTCTAGAAGAATTCCTTTGTTTAATCAGAAACAAGATCGACTGGGCCCAAAACGCGGAAGGATAGCCGTGCGTAGCGGGATAAGGACAGCAGGGTGCGGCACCAAAGGAAGAGAGTTGTTCCCAACAGTCCTGTGGTGTTGGGTCCTCGTTTTGAAGAGACAGCGCCCCGCGTCCTCGCCTATCCTCTCCTCTCCTCCTCCCCTCCTCCCCCTCCTCCCTCCTCCCACCCCTGCCTCTGCCCTTACCATGCCCATGCCGGCGCACCACTCACACGCTGCGCGGCCCCATAGGGGGCTCCACTGAAGGCCACGGTGGCAAAGTTCGCATGCGGCTCCCCGCCCATTTTGGTACACCCCTCACATGCTTCGTGGCCCCATTGGGAGCTCTACGTGGCCCCATAGGGAGCTCCACCGAAGGCCCCAATGGCAGGGTTCGCATGCAGTTCCCCGCCAATTTCGGCACACCCATCGCACGTCTCGTGGCCCCATAGGGAGCTCCACCGAAAGCCCCAGTGGCAAAGTTCGTGCAGTTCCCCGCCACACGTCGGCACGTCCCTCACACTTTTCGTGGCCCTGTACAGAGCTCCACTGAAGGCCCCAACGGCAAGGTTCGCACGCGGCTCCCCGCCCATTCTGGTACACCCTCAAGCGTTTCGTGGCCCCATAGGGAGCTCCGCTACAGGTCCAATTGGCAGGATTCGCACGCGGTTCCCGGCCATTTCCGTACACCGAAAGGACGACGACGACGACGCCCGCCCTGAGCGGTACGTCGCGCGGCCTGTCCAAGCATCGTGCCGTCGATTGTCGATCTACGTCGTCGTCGTCGTCGTCGTCCTCGTCCTCGTCGTCGTCGTCGTCGTCCTCGTCCTCGTCCTCGACCTTAGCCCCCTTTAGGGAGCTCCACCGAATGTTCCATTGGCAGGGTTCGCACGCGGCTCCCCGCCCGTTCCGGCACGCTCCTCGCACGCTTCGTGGCCCCAGAGGGAACGCCACCGAAAGCGGTGCCACAGCGCAGTGCCCTTGTGGATGCCACGACAATGGACACTCTAACAATCCTACCATTGAATGAAAGGTGTGCTTGAAATGTGTAGAACATGTTCTACACATGCTTCCAACATGTGTTTTTTGCAGGTTCAGAACGTGCTGGAAACATCTGTTAGACGTCTGGCAGTTACTTGGCAGCACGCTTCCTCTCCATTGACCGACCTCCGCAATTCTAGGGGGGGGGGCGGCGGCGGGCGGAGGCAACGATGGGCGAGGGCGACGAGGGAGGCAGAGCAGCCCAGAATCGAAATCGGCAAGGCGGATCGTCGATCGAAGCCAAAATCGTCGATCCAAACCAGTTTGGTCCGCCGATCTAAACCAAATCGTCCGATCGTCGATCGAATCGGTAAGTCGGATCGTCGATCGAGATGATGCGGATCGGCGGAAATCGGCAACCAAATCGGGAGATGACGAATCGGCGGAAATCTGCAGGCTCGTAAGGCCCCCATGGAGAAACCGGAATCCAAATCAGAACCCGAAGTCGAATTGAATCGGAATCGAAATCGAATCGAACCGAGACGGAGGAGTCAAACTGATCCCTGAGGGAGAGGAGGAGATGGGGTGGTGGAGTGGGCGAAGCGTGGCCGCAAATAACTAAGGGAGACAAGCTGGCAGAGGAGGCCGGACTCTCTTTTGCACGACGACTTCAAAGCGGCGCAACCGCGCCCTGGGAGCAACGCTGAGATGCAGCGTATTCCGCGCATTCGTGCTGGCACTGCCCAGTGTGGTGCAGGGATGTAGAGGTGCGTGTGTGCAGATAGGGTGGTGGAAGTGGTCTTCCTCCCCCCACCGCACTACCCCCCCCAACCACTTCCTCCTCCCCTCCCAGCAGCACGACTGCTGCCCCGCTGTTCCAAGCGTGCTGCTGTGCGACGGGCGCCCGCACGCCCCGCGCAAACGCACGAAACTCTTGCACCCTGCGCGAGATTGATTGCGCACCCACTCGCTCCCAATGAATCTCTCTCTCTCTCTCTCTTTCTGCGTCTGCGTGCCACCTGCGCATACACCCGCAGCGAGTGTGTGCGCAAATGCAGGTTTGAATGAGACTTCGGGGACCAGCCTCTGCACACACACGCACACGCAAATATCTCGGACAAGCGCGGGGCTCCGAGAGCAGCCGCGCGATATAAAGAAACCGTTGCTAGCATATGCCAAGCTCCGCGCAGGTAGAAAATAATGCCCCTCCGTGTACACGGGCCACTGCGCTCACTACGCTCGTGCCCGCCCCGCTGACTGCGGCACCAGAGAAGGTCTTAAAAAGGAAAAGTGCGACTTTCGTTGAGTCGTTCGCTCCTCTCACGCTCCCCCTTCTTCTCCATCCTCCCCCACCCCTCTTCCTCCTTCTCCTCCTGTTTCTCTCCCCCTCTCTTTCGCTTCCCTCCTTCCACCCTCCTCCTCCTCCTCATTATCATCATCATTACCTTCCTCGTTAACCTCCTCTCTCCTCGCAGTTCCCGTGTCCTGGGACCATCGTCCCTCGTCTCTCCTCCCATCCCATTCCTCCCCCCTCCTCCTTTGCTGACTTGATGTGGCGATTTGGCGCTTGGAACTAGCTATGTTTTGACGCTGCTCCCTCCCCCATCCTCCCTCTCTTTCTTCCTGGCCATCCCTTCCGCCGCTTTCTCACATGTCCTTCCTCATGCCTAACTCGCATGCTCTGGCAACCAGATCCGCCGAACGCGTCTCGGGAAAAGTAGTTACTTGCGCGAGAGGCGTCGAACCGAACTTGAGATGTTTTTCGGTAACCGCATCCTTGAAGTCTTAGAGGAGAAGAGCTCGTCGCTCGAAGTTGTTGCACCGCCAGGGATATTCACACCAGGGGGCGTTGGTCGTTGCTCGTTCGCGGAGAAGCTCGCGGATTCCAGCCCTCCGAAGCGAGTCGCAGATGTTGCCTGGATGTCTCCATCCACTCTCACGTGCTTACCACGTGAACCCCAAGTGTCCTGGACATGTTCCAGATGCTGTCCTGATGCTTCACACGTGCGTCCACACACGCACACTTCCCATCATATGGATCGCCCCGAAGACCCGGAATCCGAACACAGGATTAGGGGGCCTCGTGCGAACCCTACCCCTGCCCCACACGATTTCTGAAAGGGAGGGTGGGGTTCACTTCGTGCGGGAGCTCCTGAGCGAAGTGAACCCCACCCTCCCCCTCAGAAATCGTGGGGGGTAGGGGTAGGGTTCGCACGAGGCCCCCTGAGGACACCTCCTCGGGGGTCATTGCTTCATTCTGCTCTATGCTCCGCCGATCTCTCGCACGCGGAAGCGCCCTCCATTTGCTTCCGCCGGCCTCCGCCGACCTTCCGCCGGCTCTCGCGGACGGCGAGGTCTCAGCTTCTCGACTCCTCGAGGGCAAGGCCGTTCTTGACATGCCCAAGGTACTTCTCAGACGCTCTGTTCGGCGCCTTTAGCAGTTTCCAAGGAACTGCAACGGCTCACGACCGTCAGCAGGGAACGACCAGTATCTTTCTCTCAGGGGTAGAGAACCGCCAAATCAGGATGATATTGCAACATCGGGCTGCACTGCACACGCACATTTCCTTGGCGACAGACCCAACCTCTGCGCAATGCGGGTAATGAGTAGCGTGGGAGACTTTATACGGGGTGACGACATGGCATGGAAGGATATACTTCTGCAAACGGCATTCGGGAGGTTCGCGGGTCCCCGGTCAAGGGATCAGGGCTTGGTGAAAAGATTAACAAGTTGAACCCCTGAGCCGTTGGGAAAAGGGCAGCCCCCAGGAACGGCGAGGTCTAATTTGAGTCTGCGGCAAGTACCCACTCAGCTGGCCTCCCCAATTTCGCAGATCGCAGCACCACAGAGATGGCGAGGTCTAATTCGGATCCGTTGTGAGTTCCCACTCAGCTGCCCCCCACCCCCAGCAACCCTCGAAAATGGCAACAGTTTCGCGGATCGCAGCCCCCCAGGGATGGCGAGGTCTAATTTGGATCCGCGGTGAGTGCCCACTCTGCTGGCCTCCCCAGCAGCCCTCGAAAGTGGCGACAGTTTCGCAGATCGCAGCCCTCCAGGGATTGCGAGGTCTAATTCTGATCCGCGGTGAGCACCCACTCTGCTGGCCTCCCCAGCAGCCCTCGAAAGTGGCGACAGTCTCGCAGATCGTAGCCCCCCAGGGATGGCGACGTCTACTTTGGATTCGCGGCGAGTGCCCACTCTGCTGGCCTCCCCAGCAGCCCTCGAAAGTGGCGACAATCTCGCAGATCGCAGCCCCCCCGCCCCTCCAAAGGGGTGGCGAGGTCTAATTCTGATCCGCGGTGAGTGCCCACTCAGCTGGCCTCCCTAGCAGCCCTCGAAAGTGGCGACAATCTCGCAGATCGCAGCCCCCCAGGGATGGCGAGGTCTAATTTGGATCCGCGGTGAGTGCCCACTCTGCTGGCCTCCCCAGCAGCCCTCGGAAGTTGCGACTTTTTCGCAGATCGCATCACCCATCCCACAGATGGCGAGGTCTAATTTGGATCCGCGGTGAGTACCCACTCTGCTGGCCTCCCCAGCAGCCATCAAAACTGGCAACAGTTTCGAAGATCGCGTCCCCCCAGGAATGCCGAGGTCTAGTCTGGATCCGCGGTGAGCGCCCACTCTGCTGGCCTTCCTAGCAGCCCCCGAAAGTGGCGACAATTTCGCAGATCGCAGCCCCCCCAGGGATGGCGAGGTCTAATTCTGATCCGCGGTGGGTACCCACTCAGCTGGCCTCCCCAGCTGTCATCGAAAGTGGCGACACTCTCGCAGATCGCAGCCCCCCAGGGATGGCGACGTCTAATTTGGACCCAGGGTGGGTACCCTCTCTGTTGGCCTCCCCAGCGGCCCACGAAAGTGGCAACAATCTCGCAGATCGCAGCCCCCCCCCCCCCCAGGGATGGCGAGGTCTAATTCTGATCCACGGTGAGTGCCCACTCTGCTGGCCTCCCTAGCAGCCCTCGAAAGTGGCGACAGTTTCGCGGATCAAAACACACACCCCCAAGGATGGCGAGGTCTAATTTGGATCCGCGGTGAGTGCCCACTCTGCTGGCCTCCCCAGCAGCCCTCGAAAGTGGCGACAGTTTCGCGGATCAAAGCACCTCAGGGGTGGCGAGGTCTACTTTGGATCCGCGGTGAGCACCATCTTGTTTGGCCTCCCCAGCGGCCCTCGCACCATGGCGACAGTTTCGCAGATCGCAGCCCCACTGCCCAGGGATGGCGACGTCTACTTCTGGTCCGCGGTGAGTGCCCACTCTGCTGGCCTCCTCAGCAGCACTCGAACGTGCCGACGGTTTCGCAGATCGCTCCCCCCCCCCAAGGATGGCGAGGTCTAAGTCTGACCCGCGGTGGGTACCCACTCTGACGGCCTCCCCAACAGCTCGCAGATCGCAGCCCCCCAGGGATGGCGACGTCTAATCTAGATCCGCGGTGAGTGCCCACTCTGACGGCGTCCCCACCAGCCCTCGAAAGTGGCGACAACTTCGCAGATCGCAGCCCCCGAGAGATGGCGAGGTCTAATTCTGATCCGCGGTGAGTACCCACTCTGACGGCGTCCCCACCAGCCCTCGAAAGTGGCGACAATCTCTCAGAGCGCAGCCCCCCAAGGATGGCGACGTCTACTTTGGATCCGCGGTGAGTGCCCACTCTGCTGGCATCCCCAGCAGCCCTTGAAAGTGGCGACAGTCTCGCAGAGCGCAGCCCCCCAGGGATGGCGACGTCTAATTTGAATCCGCGGTGAGTACCCACTCTGCGGGCCTCCCCAGCAGCCCTCGAAAGTGGCGACAGTCTCGTAGATCGCAGCCCCCCAGGGATGGCGAGGTCTAATTTGGATTCGCGGCGAGTGCCCACTCTGCTGGCCTCCCCAGCAGCCCTCGAAAGTGGCGACAGTCTCGCAGATCGCAGCCCCCCAGGGATGGCGAGGTCTTATTTTGGATCCGCGGCGAGTGCCCACTCTGCTGGCATCCCCAGCAGCCCTCGAGAGTGGCGACAGTCTCGCAGATCACAGCACCACAGGGGTGGCGAGGTCTAATTTGGATCCGCGGTGAGTACCCACTCTGCTGGCCTCGCCAGCAGCCCTCGAAAGTGGCGACAAGTTCGCTGATCGCAACTCCCCAGGGATGGCGAGGTCCGTACAAGGCAAGATGAGACAAGAGGGAGGCGGGAGGAGGAGAAAGGAGGGAGGAGGTGGGAGGAAGGACGCGACCACAGTGATCTGTTCAAAACGAGTACTCAACTAAGGAGGGTTGGGGAAAAAACTGTTTGAACTCATTCATTCGTCTGGATCGGTATCAGCCCAGGGCTGCACTGGAGCAGGAGAGGAGGATGAGCATGAAAAAACGGATGTATGGAGGAGAACGCGGAGTCAGGGGCAGGGGCAGGAAGGAGAGCGAGCCATCAAAGCCAAACACCGCTCCAGACTTGCCGTCTACAACTGCGTGTTTCCAACTGTACACAAATGCACATCTGTCTCTTCCCAACGCCTCCCGCATTGCTGATGGTCCATTATCATGCTCCTCCCGCTGCTGCTGCTCCTCCCCTTCGTCATCCTTTCCACCCGTCTGCCCTTTCTCCCCACCCTCCTACTGCTGATGCTGCTGCTGCTGCTGCTCCTCATCCTCCTCCTTCTCCACTTCCCCGTGGTTCTCTTGCTCCTCCTGCTCCCCCTCCTCCCCCGTTTCTTGATATCCTCGGTCGCCCTTCCTGCGTCTTCTTCCCTTAGCTATGCGCCCTTGCTGCACGCTCCACGTCGCAATGACACCAGTGACAAAATGTTCCGGACTTTCGCCGGTAACTAGATGTCTCGATCACAACGGAGGCACTGCAGAGTAGGAGGATGGATGAAGGAGCTTGGACGGGGGCGGAGGAATGCAGAGGAAGGGAAGACGCAGGAGGAGGTAATTAGAAGGAGGAGGAGGAGGAGACAGGGCAAGCAGATCCACCACCGTTCCTTGTGCACGCTGGGTCGTGTTAAACAACTCCTCTGCTGTCTCGCAAGTTTTCTTTAGTGCTTCTAAGCCCGACCCCATCCCCTCCCCGCAAGCGTCCTCCGAAAACCAACCTCTCCAGAGCCGATGTTGGCCCATGTGGCCATTTCAAATTACTTTTTGGCAACAACAAAAAAGCCATGGCCGAGTGGGGTCAAAACTACCCCAACAGCAAACAATCATAACCCCAACAGCAAGCAAGAACAACCAACAACAGCCCAAACAGCACAAACAAAAACACCCCAAGGCAGCACAAACAGCCCCAAACCGCCCGAAGACAGCAAAGCTCGCCCTAAGACTATCAAGGAGGTCCCAAGACTGCCTAAGAAGGCCTCCAGACGCTCCAAGAAGGTCCCAAGATGGCCCAATGTGCTCTCAGGACGGCCCCAGAGGCCCCCTGGCTCCAAGAGGATGTCCAAGAAGCCCTCGACAGCAAAGATCCCTGCTTCTCACGATGACTTTGACAGATTTGAGCATACTGCCCATTTCTGGCTTCCGACCGCCCGAGACGGCCCAGCGGTCTCCAAGAGGGCTTCAGGACAACCCATGTGATCCCAACAGGGTCCCAAGAGGGCCCCAATGAGGCCCCAATAGCGGCCCCAGAGGGGGAAGTCTAGCTGGCCTGGACAGCTTTTTCGGACAGGACTCCCAACATGCCCTCAACATGCCCCCAACAGGCCCCATGGAGAAACCCAAAACGCCCCCGAAGGGCCCAAGAGACCTCCAAGAGGCCTCCCAAAGGTCCCCCTATTTACCACCCAAGGCCTCCCAAACAGACCTGAAAGGCTATCGAAGGGCCCTCAAGAGGTCCCAGAGAAGCTGCAGCATGCGTCTTTGACTCAACCGCCTTCACGCTGCGCGGCTGCACTGGCGATGTGGCGGGGTCTACCGCAAGCAGCTGGATATAGTTAAGCCACCTGTCAAGCCGTGGTGACTGTGCGCGCAGGAGAATGCGCGGGAAGGAGGAGATATAGTAGCATGGTGGTCAAACTCATAAAATAATGAGGGCAAGTATGTCAGATGTCGGGCACATGGAGAACACTAGACGCCCACATGTTGTTAAGGGGATGCTAGCACGCCTGCTGAGCTGTGCACGCGCTGGGTATACGTGGTTCATAACTCTGAACATGGTATGTGTCTATGCTGTGCAGTGGGCTGAGTTCTGTCATCGAATGAATGTGCTGAACCCTCGAAGGCCAGTGATCGAAGAGCAGCTAGGAGGATCGAAGAGCAGTTGGGAGGGCTCACGGATTGGAAAAACCAGCGCGGGCCGTCATGGCTCAGGCTGGACACATCCAGCTCTCGACGGCAGCAATATTAGCCGGAAGGCGATCGGCTGACGCCTCGCACTGCGCAGCAATTCGAATCTCTTTGCGGCTTGCACGTGCACTCGGGACTCGGGGTGTCCGAACCATCACTTCATGTGGTCTTAAAGTTTGGCCTCCATCCCTTCCCTTCCGTTCGTTCCCTCGCGTGCCTCTGCCACCGCTCCTCGCTCATCCATCGCCTTCTCCTCGTTCCCACATGGGGACATACGGTCGAGGGAAGAGATTAGGCATCACCCCCCCCCCCCTCCCCCGCAGTTCAAAGTTGGCACATTCCTTGAAGACCACTCGGAGGCCCAAAATCGGAAGATCCGAAACCAACACTGCATTTGGGGGGAGCGGGGGGGTTCAAACCAGGTGCTCTGAATGAGCGTTGATTAATTGTTTCCGACCCCTGCAGTGTTTGCCCGGGGGCGGGGTGAATGGACACCATCCCAGCAAGTTGTTCCACGAAAGGCGGCTTGCGGTGAACAGGTGGATCGACGCTGTGGGCAAAAATTGCACCAGAGCCCTCGCTATCGATTCGTTTCGGGCACTGCCAAAGTTGTCTATCGTCCGCCAGGTCCGCCAGGCGCTACAGGTGCTACAGTTGCGCCGCTTGCACCAGGTGAGCCAAGTGCGTCAAGGCGCCATTTGTGCCAAGTGCGCTGCGTCGCTACACGCTCCTGCCAATCTCTGGGCGTTCTGACATCGTCTTGGACCCCGTCAAGCGGAGTCGGGCGATACGTGCGAAGCAAATCCCAGTCTACATAATACCTTTGTGGAGCGGCGCACGGCGACGAAAAACACAAGATGAGATGTACGTCCCTACACAACAATGCCAATATTGACTCCGCATTCCACTTGAAGCGGCAAGACCGACTGCCAATATAGCGACGCCAAGCACGACGCCACTAGCATCCCAACGCGAAGCGCCGCTGACTGTACGAACATGCGTGCAGGGGCTCGCCTGGGTGACGGACGGGGGGATCGCATAGGAGAGCTCGGGCAAGTCGAAATCGCCAACGACGCACCCCAACTCAACGTCGAACGGTGGCGTTGGCGATGGACCGCCGCAGAGCAGCATGCGGCCGTCGCACGCATCCAGCAAGCAGACCCCGGCAGCATCGGGAGTACTCATCAAAGCTCGGCAGATGCAAGGCCGCGATACGGCAGCAAGAGGGAGGGACTCGCTGCAGGATTGCTCCCCCAGGCACTCGAACCGAGCCTCCCTGGCCCTCCAAACCCCACGTCCAACGAGGCGCTCGAACACAAAGCGCGCGAAGCTCTCCTGTTCACCCACGTGCCCCCTGCCCAATGCTTCCCCACGGCTCCCGTGTTCACCCACGCTCCCACCATGGCCACCCTGCCTCCGCAGCCCGCCGCGTGCGTCTCCCCCGAGTGCAGGCCGGCACGGCCCGAAAATCTGCCTCCACCCGGCCTCCTGTGCAGCACGCGTGGCCGAAAGACCGTGCGAATTAGGCGTCGGAACATGAGACGCGAGAGCTAGGGGTCGCACTCCACTGCAGAAGCGCGGCGGCGCACCGAAAGAGGCGTGGCGAGGCGGGAGCCCTTCGAACAGGCACGGGGGCTCTCTTCAGAGGAGCTCGGAGAGCTCCTTGAGAGGGCCTCTCACGAGGCAGGGAAGGGAGGGAGGGAGGGAGGGAGGGAGGGAGGGAGGGAGGAAGAGAGGGAGGAGGAGGAGGAGGAGGAGGAGGAGGAGGAGGAGGAGGAGGAGGAGGAGGAGGAGGAGGAGGGGGAGCTTCTGAGGAGCTGTGCTGATTTCCTAGAAGGGCGCCCCCTCGCCCCAC